TAGACGATAATAGTTAAATTTTAACCTGCTGATTTTGTCAAAAAAATAGTAATAACATAAATTTTTTTAAAAAATTAAAAAAAATGAGAATAAATTTAACGAACGAATAAAATATAATCAAGGTTATATATATATTTTTTGAAATTTTGTTTCAATATTTTATTATTTGATCATTATTATTTTTATGAAAAAAATATAGTATATTTTTATGAAATATCAAAATTATTTTGTTTTTTTTTTTTTTAAAAAAAAAGAATCTTGAAAAGAACGAACATATGTTTAAGGGTTTTGAAAAAATGAATAGTAAAAATGCAGTGGAAAGACAAAATTAGGTAAAATTTGCCAAGTAGTGTTCAAGCCAGCATATATTATCTATATGCTAATTAATTTTCAATAATTAATTATTTTATTAAATATTTTTTATTTCTCAAATTTTCTAAAAATGATAAATTCAATGGATTAGATAAATATATTTTCAATTTTTTTAAAGTGAAATTGTTCATAACTTTCTCGTAGTTTCGAAATTTAGCTTAAAATGTCTTTATACTTTAAAAATATTGGATAAAATTCCACGGTCATGAAACTTCCCTTGTATTATGAAGAAATAATATTCTATCTATATATTTTGCATGGTGGAGGTTTCATGCAACATCTATAAAGTATAAGGAGTGTCATGTAATTTTTAAAGTAAAAATGGGGATTTATACTAAGTTTTGAAACCATAAACGGATTTTATGCAACGTTTTTTAAAATATAAGGGGGTGCCACACAATTTTTAAAGTAAAATGGAGATTAACGATTAGTTTCGAAACCACAAATGAGTCATGGACAATTTTGTTTTTTTTTAATACTCCGTCGGTCCCATTGAAATATTGTTATTTTCCATTTTCGTTCATCCAAAAACAATATTATCATTTTCTAACTTAGTAATTATATTACCTACCAAACATAATAAATATTATTTCAACTTACAATATATTACACAAAATGTCATTACTTTTATATTATACAATACTAACAAAGGTATTTTTATTTTTTTTACTACAATCCAATATAATACTAATACTCCCTCCGTCTCATAACTAGATATTCATTTGCTTTTTGCACGTAATTTTAAAAATATTAGTATTATATTAGAATGTAGTATGAATAAAGTAGAAATTACTAAAATAACCCTATTAGTATATGTAATATAAAGGTAATGACATTTGTGTAATATATTGTAAGTTATAAGGGTATTTGTAATGTTAGGTAGATAGTACAGTTACTAAAAAAAGTAAATGGATACTTTGTTATGTGACAGACTAAAATGGAAAAATAGATACTTTGTTATGGGACGGAGAAAGTATTAAAAAAATTTATGTGAGAAAAAGTAAACGACAACCTTTCAATGAGACATAAAGAGTATGTCCGTTAAATTTAGTTTATCATTACTTTTGGCAAAATCAATTTTTCAATATTTGACTATTATTCTTGATATTATTCTTCGTTTAATACTTATTTATATATATATATATATATATTAGTTTCGAGATGTAGAGAGATAATAAATTGGAATATATGTTCTCTAGGACTTGGATGTGGTTTGAAGTTCGAAAATAGTATAAATTTAAATTTAAATAATATTTAATGTAATATAAATAAATATTTAATATCATATTTTTTGAATGGAAATTAATTTTTTTAATATGTCAACTTTTATTTATTTATTTAGTAAATTAAGAACACGACTTGAACATTAAAACAGAGAAAAAGACCCTTTATTTTTTGTACTTTTATTTCAAATCTATTTTAATTTAGGGTGTGTTTGTTTTGCATTTGTGCATAATATACAGCACGCATATGACCTATTCCAACAATCGAAAATCAATATGGCAAACTTCACCAAGTTACAAAATTAAATTCCAAAAAACTTAAAATAAAATATTTAATACAATATATTAAAAAGCCAAACAAACAAAAGCTTTAGGTGCAAGATTAAAATTATACTCCGTTCGTTCCAATATAATAGTCTTGTTTACCATTTTTGTCCGTCCAAAAACAATAGTTTTATTTCCATAAATAACAATATCACCATAAAACTACCCCTACTTTTTCATTTTTATTACACAATTGCCACTACTTTTTACATTAATACACTCGTAAAGGCAAAAAAGTCTTTTATCCATACTTTTTATCTACTCTCAATATAATATCAATATTTTTTTAGATCTTGTGCCCAACCTAATTAAGACTATATTTATGGCAGAGAAAAATTAAAAGCACATATCAATGATCCAAATTTATTATTGGTGTAGCAACTTGGTACTAAATCATTCAATGTATGATTAGGAGAAATGTTCGAAAAACTTTAAAATTAATAAATGAGCAAAATTAAATAATGCAATAATCATTCCGAGCCAATTTAGTTGGAAAAAATTAGGTATAATTTAGACCATGATATTAATTTCGTGTTAGGAGTTGTTTCTTTTGATAAGTTTAGAAAAATTTTGATTTTGATTGGGTATTAAAATAATGTATGATAGAATATTTTGTGAGAGGTAAAAATGTACTTCCTCCATCCGATTCTAAATGTCTCATTTACCTTTTGCGTCATTGTATGTAACATTAAAAATATTTTTATATTTGTATAATTTTTTTTTTGCACAAAATGTCATTATAATAGTAGCATAAGACACTAATAGAAGTATTTGTCATTTTCCTTTTGATTTGCACTATGTTTTAATAATTAATATTCAAATATTTAACATGCAAAAGATAAATAAGATCTTAGAGGCGGACGGAGATAATATATATATATTTTGACACGCATAGTTAAATAGTAGAAATCTAGAGGGCGTTTGGTACAAAGAATAGAATTGCAGATAAATAAGAGTAGAGAAGTAATCAGACATAAATGAAATTGAGCAGAGAATATAAATTAATTCTCTTGTTTGGTAAAACAGAGAATTCAGTTGAGAAGTATAAAAAAAAATGGATATATGAATGGATTAAATAAGAATAATTGATTAACCGGATAAAAAAAAAAAGAGTTTTAACGAATGAGAAATCATGAAAATATTTTTGGTGATTTTTTTTTTAAAAATTATAAATTAAATACGATGTTTTTTAAAATTATATTTTAATATAATTTCTTAAAAATCATAAAAATTAAATACTTTAACAATAAATTAAATTTGGTTTTTGTAAAATTGGAATAATATAATTTTTAAAAAAATTATAAAAATTAAATAGTAAAAAAAAAAGATACAAAAAATTTTAAAAAATATACTGGAACATTATTTCTCTCAATTTGCATATGAGAGAAATGAAAACAGATAAATGAAAATGATTTATTTATCAAGTTCTATTTCTCTGACTCAAACAAACAATACAAATGAGACAATTTCTATCATTTATCGGTACCAAACACAACCCTTGGATTTTTAGTGTAAAGAAACACATACTTTTATAATAGATTAAAAGTATTAATATCTTATACTCTCTCCGTTCATTTATAGTTATCATGAAGTATATTTGCATGTTTTTTATATAATTATTATTATTATTATGTATAAATTGACAAATTTATTATTTATGATAAAGTAGAGATTAAGAGTGATAAATAAATAAAAGATAAAAAAGTAAAATTTAGGTTTAAAAAAAAAAAAAAAGACAATAATTATTGGACGTGCTAAATAAAAAAATAGAACATTAGTTTATGAATGAAGAAAATATATGATAAATCATGTATAAAAAGTTTATTGACAAAAAATATTTTTAAGAGCATCATAGATTAATTTAAAAACAAAATAGTAGTATATTTGTCATTTTTGTAAATTATAGTAATATTTGTTGTGGATTTATTTCTGAATCGATGGATTTTATTCGAACAATATATCATATAAAAAATTAGGACAATGAATTAGCGGAAACAAATTTCGATTAAACCCAAATCATTATTACCAAATCGGAAACTAAAACTAAACTATATAAACGAAAAAAAAAAAACAAAAAAAAAAAAAAACTAAAATGCAATTCCTTGAATTTAGGAATTGAAAAACACAAACAAACACATTCCTTAATTGAATTCAAATCAAATCAAACTAACAGGACAAATGAATTAAAGAAAGGAATTGAAACTCCCTGGGATTTCTTTTAACCAAAAAAAACAAACTCTATCTGCTTCCACATAATTTGTCCATATTTTCTATTTTTTTTCCGTTTCATATAACTTTATCATTTCTATTTTCGGAAATATAATTATGTACTTTAATAGCATTTTAAATTTTAAATTTTATAATTTTTTAATTTTAATTAAATTATTTACTTATTTTAATTTTAATCTATAATTATTTTTACTAATACACTTCTTAATTACCTAAATTCTCGTGTCTACAATAATACACTGAGGGAGTATATACGTATTACTTATTTTATATTTTCTACACAATTTTTTATACTTTATATAAAAAAATACTCATTCATATTATTTCACAAAACAAATACGCTCTCTGCTCTCTGTTTGTCGATTCAGAAATGGGGAGGTTTGATTAACTCTGAGAATCCAAAATTGACGAATGACTTCGACAACAATTCCTATACCGCCTTTTTCTCCAGGCAGCATTGGCAATGGCCGGCGGGTTCGAATTCCTCCGATGAACAACGCCGAATGGAGAAAATCAACATCGACTTTCAATTCTTTTACCCGACGGTTTGAGACCTAATTCAACAAATTCCTCGATATAATAAAAGTTGGTCCACTCTGTAGCCCGGCCCATTAGATTCGGTCCAAACCCTCTAACTCAATCTCAAGCCCAAACCCAAACCCATTTAGCTAGGGTTTGTTAGGTAGTTGATTTTGGTTATAACAGTTATTTGAAAATACAACTAGCGATATTTTGATGTAACATTTTATCAGATAATCTATAAATTTGATGTAATATTTTATGTCAATATTGCATGTAAATAGAATCTTAACATCCCAAAACATGACTACATGTTTTAAACGAAGCGTAACGTAAAGTAACATAATATATAATATTTATCTAATCCTTCAAAATGAACACGATGTAAAATTGAAATTCGTAACAGCATCGTAGTATTATTCACAAGCAAACTTCTTCACTCGACAAAATATAGTGAAATGACTAAAATGCCCTTGAGTGTACCTTTTCGACAACAACCGTATGGTCTCAGGGGGACTTTCTAGTGATATCGACACAGCCCTTGTGGAGCTGAAAGGCCGGGGTGATCCAACTCCCGCAGCTGCACTGGATGCCTGACCAGTTGAAGTACCCGACTCGCCCTGCGCACTTCGGACACACAAGTTTGCCCTCCACACCACCTTCCTCCACTGGAGATTAACAAAAAAAAAAAAAAAAAGAAAAAAAAAAGATCAGCTTATTGAATAATGTCAATGCATTGGGTAAAAGAACATACGGCATAAAAAGGCGCTAGCATGCTAGCATTCGACTTAAGAGGTTTCAAGAAAGAGGAGAACATGAAGTGTGTTCTTTTTTCAAATTTTACTGGCAAAATTGTCCATAACTTCTCTGATGTTTTGAAACTCAGCGTAGATCTCCTTTGTACTTTAAAAATTGTATGACATAATTTATATTTTCAAAAACATTGCATGAAACCCCGCCATGCAAAAAAATATAAATGATAAATCATCTTCTCATCACAAACAAAATGTAAAAGAGGGTTTTATGCCACGTTTTTTAAAGTATAAAAGGGCACCATGCAATTTTGAAAGTACAGAAGAATTTACACTAAGTTTCGAAACCACGAGAAAATTATGAGCAATTTTGCCAATTTTACCAAATTCTTATTATTCACCAATTTTACTAAAAATAAATTTTACATTTAAAACATCACATTAACGCCTAATTACGATATATAATACAAAATATATACACATACCGATAAAAGTTAGTAAAAGCAAACAAAAGATTGTTTCCTATAATACTTTCACAATTCTTCCCTCCCTCGCAACAAAAAATACTTGAAATTAAACACAAAACAAACATACTAAATTCGCAAAGAATTGCTTAAAGCATGTTTAGACGCAAGTGTTACTCATTCAATGCATCTGAGTAATTCATTCCTACGACAAAACGACATATCCAGTAACAGATATATCGAACTTTTTTTTTTGTCATAAATGAGCGACGCTAGAAACTTAAGCATGGTGACTTCTACCTCTCGATTTCACGATATATATGGAGTTTTTAGATGGTACCTGTAGTCATCCACTGAATGGGTTCTACAAAAACAGAGGAGCATTCGTTGTCGTTGGATTGGTTGTAACGATTCCTTTTTGGCCATGTGTCGCCTTCTCCAGGAACATGATCGACAACATTTTCCAGCGATGCAACAATCCTGTGGCATTTCTTGCAGCTGTAGGCTGGATAATGTGGCCCATCTCTCTCGACCGATGATGCTTCAGAATCAGAAGAAGATTTTTCGGCTGGTAAGCCAGGATCAGGAGCGAATCGAGAGCCATCTAGCTTATCTCCACGGTTGTAAGAATCGCCTGTCGTGTCAACATGTAGTACTATGAATTCGACAGATGAAATTCATGGCAAGAATTCGATCATATTGTAGGAAAAGAAAATGGAGACCTAATACTTTTAAGCGGAACCGTTTGTATATGGGACTGGCGTGATCGACTTTGTATCCCATTTGTTCAAACATTTTCAGCTGCTCGAGGAAACCGTCGTTTGGGCACACGGATTCGCAGCATTGCCGTAGTGATTCCAAAGCATCTAATGATCATGTAGAAAACAGGAAGTATCATTAAAATAGGAAGGAAAAAGAAGATTGGAAAAGAATGGAGCCGGAAGAAGATCTTCGACATAATTCCACATTCCATGTATTGTTTAAAAAAAGAACTGAAACCTGAAAGCAGCAAGAAATTTTGCACCTTCTTGTGATAGTCGTTCGGTTCTCATCACGTATGCCATAATAATAGCTACACTGCAAGAACGAGAAAATGGAAGTGAAATATCGATTGCGAATATAAACATAAAAATGAGGACCTCGAAAATATATATAGAATTTGTTTTAGTAAGGCTGTTCATTGTCTCGTTTTCGCTCATTTTAAATCCACAAATACATCAACATGAAAATCAAGAACTTAAGAGCTCAAATCTCAATAATGATGTAATGGAACATTATTTGATGTTAAATACTTGTAATACATAGGAAAAAGATTCGAATTGACAATCCAGCACCAATTATGGTCAGTTAGTGTATGCTATTGTGTCTATTACTTTATACTTTTCAGAAAGTCTCATTCCTTTTCTGTCGATAGGATTAAGAGAAAAATCAAAACTAGATCATTTACAAAGTCCTAAGAAAATATTTGAAAAAAGCAAAAAATAAACATTGCCCGTACCTTCTTGATACACCAGCAAAACAATGCACCAAAACAGATCCCTCTTTCTTAGCATCTTCGATAAAATCCAAGCACACATCCAAGTGATCCAGAAGATCTTCATTTTCGGAATCTCTCAAAGGCACAGCCATTCTTACAAATTTCAGATCCTGGCCAGCATATTCCAACGAGTAGAGGAGCTTCTGTGGTGGCAGTGAACTCCTCAAAGCATTATTCGAGATATCTTCTGCTTTCAAGTCCGCAACGTATACCTTTCTGATATGTTTGCTCGGTATTGAGAGCCTGCGCCACTCTGAGAAGAAGGATATAGAGTCTGAACTAAGAACGGAGAGAATGTGTGTGAATTCGTTGCTTCCATTTTGGAGAATCTCCGCGGCGTCAGTGATGTTACCAAAGAATAATCTTTCACGCACAAGATAAGGCATGTTATATGAACAGCTCGCACCTGCAGGCTTCCCAGAATCAGTCATGATCTGTCGCTTCCACATTACGAAAAACTTTTACACTACAAGCTATATAAATGAGTGGCTATAACACTACAGCTGAAGCAATTAATTTTAGAACAATTATGATTTGGAAGTAAATCTTAGGCAGCTATTGTTTGGTTTTAACCCTTCAACTTGTATTGACAAATCCAATTTGTCGAAAATTGTTAACCAGAACACATATGACCTGATCACCAATTAAGATTTAAGAATGGTAGAGCCCAAATTGCAACAGAATACTTAGCAGCAGCATTGAAATCTAACCTGCATCTTGATCTTGGGTTCCTACTTACTCATCAATCTTTTATTCAAAAAACAATTCCTCATTTCAATCTAATTATATTCCAAATAAGAGTTAGAATCTAAACAATTAGAATTATAAGTTATACTGCCCATTAGACAGTGTAAGAAAACACTTGTTTGTTTTCTATTGCGAAAAATGTTTAAGGCTGTCTCATTGTGAATTTTTACTTTATTCAAGAAAATGAAATTTTTCTCTTACTGAATATTATCCTTAAATCTCCTTTGACTGAAGTTTACCTAAAATTTGAAACTTCGATTTTTATTACCTAAATAATATATACATACCAAATTTGAAGCAAAGTTTTCTACGTATTCGATAGGTTTCTTGAACTGCAAAGCTCAAACAAAGGAAACTGTCAACGTATCCTTTTATTTTCCACTTCGCCGGGATATATCACTTCTTTGCACTACCAAACCAAACCAAATACCGGAAAATTACAAAACCAATCAACAACTGCAGGCCGATTAAATAACTGATAATATTTGAAATCCGTACAGTTCAAAACTTGCAGAAGAAAGTTCACCTCAAAAAATTTCATTACTACAATCTTAGAGCAAACTATAACCAATAAGCAATATATCAACACTAATTTCCTCATTGCAGGAACAACAACCGATCTAATCATGCTGCACCATTCATAACCTGACATTAATTTAACAGAAGCAGAATCGAATTAATTGATCAAACAAAAAACAACAATCAAGTTATTCCAGAGAATCAATCGACTTACAAAAGTAAAAAGAGGCGAATAAACAGAAAAACCAATCAATCAAACAACGCAAAGATACATAACTCGGCAGGGTGAAACCGAAATTTCAAAAGTCCGTGACAAATCATCACAATATTTTCAACTGTCAGAAGGATCTGCAAAATACCTTAGAGCTGAATATCGGAATATTCCGGCGAATCGAAGACAGCTGTCTCGGCGGAGCTTCCGCCTTCTGTCCGACGGTTCCGTGAACTATGAGCCGTTTCTCCATTTTATAGGCAGTTGGCACGTGTGAGTTTTTCTCCGTCCACTGAAGTCCAAAACGGCATTCCACGTGGCGCCGTGTGAATGGCTGCTACTAATTTTACTTATTTTCCATTACTTTTATATTTTTTTACCTCCCCTTAAATTATTCATTTTAATTTATTTAGGTATCATAGAATTAGTAAGTAATTAAAAATATATTAATAAAAAATAATTATATATTAAAATTAAAATAATTAAAAATTAATTAAAATAAAAAATAAATTTAAAAATTAAAAATTTAAAATATATATAATATATAATTATATTTTTAAAAAAAAAAATGGGAAAGGAAGGAGTATTTTTTAAAATAATTTTCTCTTCCAAATATAATTTTGTGGTTGTAGATTGAAACTTATTTAAAATGAAAGATTAAATTTTAATTTTGTTTAAATGATATTTTAATATGATATTTTATAAATGAATATTTCTTTCGTCCCACTTAATTTGTCTCATATTTTTATTTATGTTCCACATAATATGTTTTTTCTCTTTTTAAAAATTTAATTATAAACTTTAATCGCATTTTAAAATTCATAATTTAAAATTATTTTATGTTAATTAAAATATTAAAAGGACAAATCTTCATTTTAATTTAAGTATAATTTATCTTCATTTTGATTTAAAATATTAGAAGGACAAATCTCAAATTTGTAGGAAAATTTTAAAAAGTTTGAAATTAATTCTTTTTTAAAAAAATTGTACTCCCCGTCCCTTAACAATCTATCAATTTTTTATTTTGGTCTGTCTCATAACAAAGTATTCATTTTTTTTTAAGTAATTGTACTATCTACCTAACATTACAAATATTATTTCAATTTACAATATATTAAACAAATGTCATTACCTTTATATCATACCATACTAATATGGTTAATTTAGTCTTTTTATCTTTATTTCTACTTTATTTTAATATATGACTAATATTTCTAAAACTCCTTACAAAAAGCAAATGAATAGATAGATATGAGATGAAGGGACGAAATGAGTATTATTTTTTATGTAATTAATAATATTTATAATTTTAAAGTAATTGAATATATATATAAAATTAAAAAATTAAAATATACGTTTAACTATTTAAAAATTATATAGCAATTAAAAAATATATGAAATATGGATATCATTGTCGTAGAGAATAATAATTTCTATAATACAAAGTAAATAAAAAAAAATATTTTTGTTTATTTATAATTAACATAAATCAATTTTATAAAATATATAAAATTTTAGATATCGATAAAAATATTTATTTTTTTGAGAAGAGAGATAGAAATAAAAAGATTTTGAGTGGGTCTATATTATTTATGATACTGTATGTTATGTTGTTAATTAAGTTGATTTATATTTGTTAAATATATTTTAATTTAATAATTTTTACCAAAAATAAAAATGTGTCAATTATTACGGATAAACAAAAATTGAAATAGTGTCAATTATGGTGGAATAGAGAAAATATTAAATACCTATTGCAATTCAAATTTTAATTATTCGAAATTTAAACTCTACAACCAAGCACACCCTTGTTGACGAATTTTTATTGTTAGTTATTAGGAAATATTAATTTCGTCCCACCAATGATGTAAATCCTCCCTCCGTCCCATAACAAAGTATTCATTTTTTTATTTTAGTTTAACAAAGTATCAATTTCTTTTTTTTACTGATTGTACTGTCTACCTAACATTATAAATACCCTATGTTGTTGCATTTATATCACATATACTAATAAAATTATTTTAGTTATTTATACTTTATTCCTACTACATTCTAATATAATATTGATATTTCTAAAACTACCTATAAAAACAAATGAATATCTGGTTATGGAACGGAGAGAGAATATTAATAATCAATTTTAAGTTCATTAAAAATTTATTAATTTTGGTCAAATTCAAAACAAAATTAATTAAATTTAATCTCATAATAGCTAACACAACATAAATCCGATAGTATCAATGAACAGACTGTTTTAAACTCAAATGGATCAAGACAACTAAGTCGTGTTTTATTTATGTTAGGTAGAGGTATCATTAAATTAAAATTAATTATTTTTTTTAAATAAAATTGATCAAAAATTATTTTTCTATTTTAAATATTTTTTTTCATCCCAATTCAACAGAGCATTTTTAAACTTTATAATATATTAAAAAATAATAATATTTTTCTAATTTTTATATTGTGTAAAAATTTTTGAAATTTTTATCATTTGACTTTATGTATATGATATATTTATAATTTTAATGAAAATTAAGAGTATTTTTTATATTAATATATAATTATTTAAGAAAATAATACTTTAAATTGGACAGATAAAAACAATAAAATTAAAAAAAAAAAACTTTAACTTGGAACGGAAGAAATATATATTTCCTTATATAATACTCCCTCAATCATACAAATATATATTCATTTGATCGAATACAAATTTTAATAAAAGTTGATAATATTTCTTATTTTTCTATAATAAAAATATAATAATATAATAATTTTTATTTAAAATATATTTATTCTCTTAGTCCAAAACTATAATCTGGAATTTGCCACGCAATTAAAAAAATATTGATATCATATCGATAGTTGATAAAAAATACGAATAAAATTTTTTTTTGTCCTTGTGGTATTTTAATACAAAAAATAGTAACAATTATTTATAAAATAAAAAAATAAAAATAATTTTATAATAATATAATTATTTATAAAAATTAAACTATTATTTTAAAACGATCAATTATAATAAACAAACCCTCCGTCTCCATCGGAGAAAAAGAATTATTTTTTAAATAATATTTTATTAATTTTTGTATTGAAACAGAAAAATATTATTTTTTAATAATATTAATAAAAAATAAAATAAAATTTGTGTCACTCGACAAACCCTCCGTCTCCATCGGCCTTCAAAATCCATTCAAATCGTGTTTTTAAAAGCCAAAACCTTTTCAATTAGGCCTAAATATTTTTTTCGAAAACTATTTTGATCAATGCCAATCCTAAATGGCTAAATCCAAACTCATCAACTAGCAGTAGTAGATCTTATTCTCTCATATAACAATATCATATATAGTCCCAAAGCCATATGTAGATGCCATAATACAACAATACTAGCCCCATATATATATATATCATAAATCGATACCGGCGCCGGAGCAATGCCGGCACCGGCGACGACTAATCCGCGGAAGACGGACGATAATAATAAGCAACCCACATCCCATCCCGAAAATCGAACCAAGAAAATAATACGATACGGAACATACTCGAAAAAGAGAGAGAGACAGATACGTACGTACGATACTTACGGGGCGTAAGCGCCGTCCTCTTCCTCGTCGTCCTCGACGGAGTACTCGGCGTCGTCGTCAGCGGTGGCATCCTGGTACTGCTGGTACTCGGAGACGAGGTCATTCATGTTGCTCTCGGCCTCGGTGAACTCCATCTCGTCCATGCCCTCGCCCGTGTACCAATGCAGGAAAGCCTTGCGCCGGAACATGGCGGTGAACTGTTCGCTGACGCGCCGGAACATTTCCTGGATCGACGTCGAGTTCCCGATGAACGTCGACGCCATGGAGAGGCCGCGCGGCGGGATGTCGCACACGCTCGACTTCACATTGTTGGGGATCCACTCGACGAAGTAGGACGAGTTCTTGTTCTGGACGTTGATCATCTGCTCGTCGACCTCCTTGGTGCTCATCTTGCCGCGGAACATGGCGGAGGCCGTGAGGTAGCGGCCATGGCGCGGGTCGGCAGCGCACATCATGTTCTTCGCGTCCCACATCTGCTGGGTCAGCTCCGGGACGGTGAGGGCGCGGTAGTGCTGCGAGCCGCGGGAGGTCAGCGGGGCGAACCCGACCATGAAGAAGTGGAGGCGCGGGAACGGGATCAGGTTCACGGCGAGCTTCCGGAGGTCGGAATTGAGCTGTCCCGGGAAACGGAGGCAGCACGTGACTCCGCTCATGGTTGCGGAGATCAAATGGTTCAGATCGCCGACTATGTACGAGAAATAAAAACAATCTCGTAAGCATATAATATATATATCATATCAAACAATTATTTTATGATCGTTAAATAAGAAAATAAATAAACACAAGGCTCTATTTACACATTTTCAAATCACTTTCAATACTTTCGGTAATTTTTTAGAAAAACATTACATTAGATATTTATATTGCTAGATATTTATATTGCATCAAATACTTGAACTCGGATCCGTTCGGCTTGATTCAACTCGATTAAAGTTCGTACGCGAACGTTAACAACGAATCGAGCCGAACATCATAAACAGGAGCTTCAAATAATATAAATGTTATATATACATATGAAATTATACAGTAATTCATAAACAAATCAAATATCAATTTAAATAAATAAATAAACTAAATTCAAATTTCCACTTTAATTTATATATGACTCTAAAAAAATGAGACCAACGAGATTAATCGAGTCGAACACAAACACAAGCTCAAATAATAAAAATTCTAAACAAACAGAGCTTGAACACTTCAAACAAGCTCAAAAGCTGAACAAATGAACACTGATCTTTTGTAGGTTTTACGACAAAAATATCAAATCAAACAATTACTGCTCTTTTTTTATATTATACTACAAATTTATTTATGATATCAATATCTATTTATATCACATCAAACAACTATTCAAATTCAATTTTTTACTATTAAAAAATCTAAACCCAAAAACCCAAACCCACAAAGAAACACACCCTTAAAATTTTGTTTGATTCGATTCGCTAGTTAACTGCTCTAATCTTTTTAGTCAGATTTGAAGTAAACATGGCTAAGACTACACAAATAACTTCACAACCAAATTCATTATCAAAGATTTGAAGTATATACTCACAGCTAGGGGTGGTGAGTTTGAGCGTCCTGAAGCAGATATCATACAAAGCTTCATTATCAAGCACCATGCATTCGTCGGCGTTTTCGACGAGCTGATGAACAGCAAGAGTGGCATTGTACGGCTCAACCACCGTATCCGAGACCTTCGGGGAAGGGAACACAGAAAATGTTAACATCATCCGATCGGGATATTCTTCGCGGATCTTTGAGATCAACAAGGTTCCCATTCCAGATCCAGTTCCTCCACCGAGAGAGTGGCACACCTGGAAGCCTGAGCAAAAAAATCGAACCCGTTACGACAAAATCAGGACATTATTATTGAGGATAAGATCGATGAGATTTACCCTGAAGACAGTCGCAATTCTCGGCCTCCTTCCGGACAACATCGAGGACTGCGTCGATCAGCTCAGCGCCCTCAGTGTAATGACCCTTTGCCCAGTTGTTTCCGGCGCCGGATTGGCCGAAAACGAAATTGTCGGGCCTGAAGATCTGGCCGTATGGGCCGGTGCGGACACTGTCCATTGTTCCAGGCTCGAGATCCATGAGCACTGCTCGGGGGACGTATCGGCCGCAAGAGGCCTCGTTGTAGTACACATTGACACGCTCCAATTGCAAATCTGAAGTTCCGATGTAGCGTCCTGTTGGATCGATGCCGTGTTCGTCGCAGATTACCTCCCAGAACTTCGATCCAATCTGGTTGCCGCATTGACCGCCCTGGACGTGCAAGATTTCCCTCATGTTTGCTGTGATTCAAAATGTAAAGATGAATTAAATCAGTATCTATTCAACTCTACTGTAAACAAACGTTACCAAAGATCGGTTAATTTAACAACAACAAATGAATCTATAGCAATGATTTAGCTGAACTCAAAAGGTAAAAGAAAATTGAAATCAGTCGAGCCTAAGATCTATGCATTTCTACTGAAAAAAAAACAATAATAACATTTTCAGAGTGTGATTAACAACAACAAAAACTCATTAGCAGGCAAATGAATCTACAGCAACAATTAAACAACAGATCTAACATTACAAACACCACCAGCTGAATCGAAGTTTGTACAGCACAATAGATCAAATGCTGGATCGATAATGAACTTAGCAGATCTTAAACCATTTAAAATCAGAAAACCAAACGTATTTGTAGTGTTAGATTCATTTGCAGTTTTTGTTGTTGTTAATGTCTCTGTAAATCTTTTTACAGAAGAGATGAATCGAAGTTTGAACAGCAAAGTAGATCAAATGCTGGATCGAATATGAACTTCGCCGATCTTAAAATCAGAAAACCAAACAATGCTGCAAACTACATCCTAACGGATTAATCAATCGAATACGACAATAAACGATTCAAATTTTCAAAAATTCAAAAGCTACAGACACACAATAACCATCTCGATCCACTACATTTTTCACACTGAACTAACACGATCTACCGAAACAAATTTCAAAACCTCACAGAAATCCAAACCACTAGAAATGCACACTACAAAAGCAAAAATTAAACTCAACCAAAAGCAGATCCAGCGAAGAAAACTGAATTCCCAACAGAGTAGAACAAATTACCTTCGGATTTACAAAAAGCAGCAGCTGAATTCGAGATCCGATCGAGTGAAGAGAGCACTTCGACCGACAGTAAAATGTGCGGAGCGTGTGAGGGAAAAATCTTCTGCCTAAGAAGGTTATTTATTTCTGAAGAAATTCGGATCAACGGTTCAGATTGCTTCCCTCCTATATTCAGTGTGTTTTTTAAGCCCCACGATTGCGACCATCCGACGGCTTGGATGGAATGGTAAATCTTTTCAAATTTTGTATCGATTTTTGTATGTGCGTGAAATGACAAGAATGCCCCTGACATTCATTCCAACGGGCACGTGTCCATAAGTCGTACGTACTGGTTTAATGTTAGCCCAAATTCCAAGAAAATATAGACACGTGTAAATATCAACGCACTTATTTGGTTAAATTTTAAATTTTAAATTTAAATAATGACTTAATAGTAGTAGTCCCTCGGTCCACTTACAAAGTTTATATTTATTTTTGGCACGGTATTTAAAAAATAATAGTATTTTAATTATAATGAGTAGTTAAAAGTAGTGTAATAATATTTTTACCCTTACTTTTTTTTTGTGTAAAAGTAATGTGATGTAAAATAAAAGATATTTGTGGAAAAAAGTAGGGTATTTAATGAAATGTTCTATTTGTAATTGGACGTTTTAAAATAAAAATATATAAACATTATAAGTGGACAGAGAGACTATTATTTTAGTCTTTAAAAAATTATGCAATTTTTTTTTTATTCTTATTTATTTATTAAATTTATATATAAAAAATTATTAATACTAAAAATATATATTTATTTATAATTTTCTTATATTTTTATATAAATAATGATGATTAAAGTGTTCCTCCTTTTGCTCCACTTTAAAGAGATATTTTGAGAATTTAAAGCAAATTAAAAAATAATATTAATATTTTATTAATTTATAAAAATATATAAAGTTTTTTATTTTTTTTAATTTATGTAGAAAGTAACAGTACGTGTAATTGTATGGTATAATTTAGGTAAAAAAAATTAAAGATATTTTGTTATTAATGTATAATTATTTTTATAAAAAAAAATACTTTCGAGTGAATTGGATAAAAATAATAAAAAAGAAATATTTTAAATTAAGATGAATGGAGTATTTTGTTTTTTTACTTAGCTATGCTAAATTTTATTACTCTTTTTATCCCAATAGAATAGTCTTGTTTACTATTTTTCTGTCCTAAAAACGATAGTTTTATTTCTATAAATAACCATATCACCATAAAACTATCAATACTTTTTCATTTTTATTACACAATTGCTACTACTTTTTACACTAATACACTCACAACGGCAAAAAAGTCTTTTATCTATACTTTTTACCGACTATCAATATAATATAAATATTCCTTAAATCTCGTGTCCAACCCAATTAAGACTATAGTTCTGGGACGGAGGAAGTATTTTTTATTTATGTTCAAATAGTATTATTACATCTTTCCTAAAAAATCAGCACATTACTTTTTAAATATTAGTATTATATTGGTTTATAGTGAAAAAATATAAAAATGTACTTATTAGATTGTGCGATATAAAAGTAACAATATTTGTGTAATATATTAAAAGTTATAAGGATATTAATTATGTTAGGTAGTTGTACAATTTCAAAATTAAGAAATTTTACATTTGTTTTGGAACGGAAAAAAGTAAAAAATAATACTTCATCCGTCTCATATACCGTGTCTGCTACACTATAGACAGTGTATTTTATGAGGAGTATAATTAGTAGATAATTAAAAATATATTAGTGAAAATAATTATCCTATAATATAACTAATTATAAATTAATATTAAGATAACTAATTAGTTAATTAAAATTTAAAAAAATAAATTAAAAAGTTTAAAATAAGATTAAAATGCGTAATCATTTTCCGACATGGAATGTGGAACGAATAAAAACAACAACGTGGATTTGGTATGCGGGACGGAAGGAGTTTCATTTTTATGGGACGGAGTGAGTATTTTATTTTTTATGTTTTATAGTAAAAATGCATAGGGTGTTTGTTTTTGCGAAATAATTGAAGGAATAGCTTTTTTTAGGATAAACTGTTTTTTAGTCCCATAACTGGACCCCTTTATCATTTTAGTCCCGTAAGTGAAGCCTGTCGCAAACTAGTCCCATAAGTGAAAAATTTTCGTTGTTTTAGTCCTCCGGCGTCGGAGACGCCCGCGTGGCTCGCCGGAGGTGACGTGTCCGCCAGGTGTCTCGCCAGGTCAACGACACACTTGGCGGACACATGGATTTTTTTTTTTCATTTTTAAAATTTTTTTTAATTGGACTAAATAAAAAAGTACAAATAAAATTTAAAATAAATTAAAAATAAGTTTTTTAAAAAAAGTTTTAAAAATGAAAAAAAAATAAAAAAACCCACGTGTCCGCCAGGTCAGCGACACCTAGCGGACGCGTCACCTCCGGCGAGCCACGCGGGCATCTCCGGCGCCGGAGGACTAAAACAACGAAAAATTTTCACTTATGGGACTAGTTTGCGACATGTTCCACTTATGAGACTAAAATGATAAGGAGGGCTAGTTACGAGACTAAAAAAACAGTTTACCATTTTTTTTTATATGAAGTATAAGATATTGTGTAAATAGTATACAAATAATAAATGTTTATAATATATATTTTTTTGAAAAATGTTTGGGCTATTTTTGCAAAAAAAACACACATAATTATTCTCGATAAATATATCATGTATACGATACAAAATATTATCTAGCCTTTTTATTATTGTATATGGCCGTGTTGATTAAGTTTTTATAATAAAATTAAAATTGACCAATTTTTCGTTAATAGGATCGAAATTTCTTCTTATTTTTCTCATATTTAATTCGTTATGTTTTGGTGTTTTAATTTGATTTGATAATAATAAAAATAAATAAGTGTTTGATGTTCTATTATGACTACAAAAAATAGTTTCTAATTTAATACTAACTTTATCCAATATTTATTATTTATTATTTTTTTACACATAAATTTTAATAATATTAATAATACACATGCCATAGAATATAATTATGAAAATATGGTTTTATTTCTAGAAAAAGATAATTTAGCTAAATAGTAATGATTATACTCCCTCCGTTCAATGTAATACGGTGTATTACTGTAAACACGGGAATTTAGGTAAAATATAATTAGTAAGTAATTAAGAAGTGTATTAGTAAAAATAATTATTATTTAGTAAAAATAATTATAGATTAAGATTAAGATAAGTAAATAGTTTAATTAAAATTAAAAAAATTATAAAATTTAAAATTTAAAATGTGATTAAAATGCATAATTATATTTCCAAAAATAGAAATGACAAGTTATATGGGACGGACGAAAATAGAAAATAGGGACAAATTATGTGGGACGGATGATGTATTTTTTTAATAACATGTAAATTATAAGATTCTCTTTAAAAATTATGTGAGGATTACAATTACTAAATCAAATAAAATAAACATGTTGATTTTGAACATATCAAAATAATATATATATATATATATATATTGATTTTAAAAAAGTGATATACCAAACAAAATTAGTATTTGACTGATTTTTTTTTTTTTTTAATTTCTCTTCAATAAATATATATATATTCATTCAAAACTTCATATATATTTGCAAACTAATTTATATTAATTATAAATAAAAAGAAATTGTATTTTATTATTTATTATATTAAAATTTATTTTCTACAAAATAATATATTTATATAAATATTTCGTATATTTTGTTAAAATAATTAAACACATATTTTCAATTTTTTTAAATCATATATATTACTATATCATAAATAAAATAAATATTAAATAAATAAATAACTTTCAACTCAAGAATCCAACCGGCCATCTATTTTTGTTCTCATCAAATATTATATATATCCAGCTTAAGGGTCTCATTTATTTTTTTTACGTATTGATTTTTTAATATTAATTATTATATCAAAACGTAATACAAATTAAGAAAAAAATTGCAAAAAAAACTTCAATTAGTGTCCTATAATACTAATAAAATGACATTTGTACAAAAAATTATTCAAATATAAAAATATTTTTTATGTTAAATAAAATAACACAAAAATATAAATGTGACCAAAAGACTATTAATTAAATAAATCCAACCCTAGTTAATATAACAATAAATATGTCAATGGATCTACTCTCCATAACTAGTTAACTACCCATAACCACATATTCCCATTACATGTCAATTCGATTCTACGGGGTGGGCACGATTTTGGTATTTGTAAAATATACAGTATTTGATATTCGAATCGAATCGAACAAATATTCGAAATCGTGAAACGTATCTAAATCAAAAATTTCGGTTAACCGAAAATATTTGTAATATTAGCAAATAATTCGAACCGAATCGAAATTAAAAAATAATATATTAAAAAACAATTTAACTTCTAATTAAATCAAAATATTTGCAAATATTTCAAGATCCGATCTGAAACCAAATTGTAATTGAACCGAAACCGAACCGAATATAATTATCAATATAAAACTTAAAATATAATAATATAAATATACAAATATATTTGGTTCAATTAATCAAAACGAAAAAAAAAAAAAACTGAAACCGAATCGAATCGAACAAATATCAAATATGCATTATTTGTATTCGAACAGAATTTGTTCGATTAACCGAAAATTCGGTTCGATTTTTTTGTCCACCCCTTATTCTACCTCCCATAATTGTTCAAAATAAGGATTTGACATGTTTAAAAAACAAAACTATTAATTGTCAATTTCTTTTTTTTAAAAAAAATTATCGTCAATTTAAAAAAAATTATCATATATTTTTATTTAATAATTAAGATTCTCACTATACAATAAAATTATTGATATTTTTTATAATATTTACACAAGTATTACTATAATTATTACTTTAATCTATTTTTTTAATTATTTTTAAAATAATAATAATTTAATCATTTATATTCTACTCTAATCTCTTTTAAATCGGAGAAAGGGTATTTTACTAAAATATACAAAACCAAAAGTCAATAAGCTCATCAAATTTTCACCCCTTGGTCAAGTGTCATATCAACGTTTTAACATCATCTATCTCCTATAATTTGTTCATATTTTTTATCTTCGTTCGTCTCACGTAAT